GACTACATCGGCCAATTCCCTCAGGACTCTGGGATGCATCTCATCAGGTCCCATGGACTTCTGTGTATTCAGGTTCCTCAGGTGGTCACGAACCTGGTCTTCTCCTACAGCAGGAGATCAAAAAACCACTTAGTGTGCCATGCTGTTACTGACTTGAAATAGATGGTTATGAAATGACACACAAAACATTCACAAGTACAAAAACCCCCACACCATTCTCCACTGCACCCTCACCACCACATTTCACAAACTGGGGTTCAAACAATGTCCTGGAAGCACAGATCACTTTGGTTTTGGTGATTTTTACCATTTCTCTTGGTAATTATTCTAGTTTCACCACATTGATTTTTGAAGCTGGGCAGCCAGAACTGCACAAAGGTGTGAAGACTACAGTTCTAATAATACCAGGATTTTTATTTTTGTAATCCATCACTCATTTCTCATTCGCTTTTGTTCTTCTATCACCTTTATACAGTAAGCACAGTGCTATTTAATCCCACAGCCTCCTGTGCTGCAGCTATAAACCTACGTGGAATCACAGCTCTTTAGCAATCACAATACCAATATTTCAATCACGTCTTTTCATGCGAACACAGTGCAATTCCTTCCAGCCAACAGGATGAGGTTATCATTTTGTACACTACCTTGTCAAGCTGCAGGTAAGACTGGAGCATGTAATATTGGTCACTCACCTAAACCAAACGTGAACCTTTCTCAGCTTTGAGCCTTTTCGTTAAGACTCAAAAAACACTGGATGCCAGAGACAAGGCGTTCAAAAATATGAGAAACCATCACATCTAGGTTAGCACATTTTTGAGAGGTGATATAAAAGGAAGGCGACGTCTTTAACTTACAATACGGCCATCCCCGCTACCAATGTCAACTAGGGAACCGCTTCTGTTTTCTAGCATTTTCAGCACATTCTGGATCTGAGCGGAAGTTGCAGGAACGAAGGGCAGGCACACTTTCCTCAGAGCCGGGATCACGAAGGGGGTGACCACAGCATAGAGCGCCACCAAGGTCCCACCGACACCAGCCGTGGCCAACAGCCCCCAGCTCCTCCTTCTGGAGCTGCCCGGGCAATCCTCTTGTGGGCCTGCTGCGCGGCTCTCGCTCGCTAGCACCTTGGACATCACACCTGGAGACAGACTTAGTTAAAGAGCGTTTTCTCTAAAAGGTTTATTACGTGCTCGCCTCAGACAAAGCAGTGTGTCATATCAAAGAGATGGGACATCAGGAAAATAAACTTCTAACCCTTTAGGCGATTCCTAGACCCTAGGAAAACGTTACTATCACGGCTTTGGAGAAGCTGCAGCGCTGGGTTAAGTTTTTCAGGGCAGGAAAGCAGTTTCCACTGAAGCCCGTACCTCTTCCCACCCGGCCGGGCAGCAGCGCGCCCC